GGAACGAGTCACCCGCTGAAATCCGGACCTCACCCACTCTCATGGCCTTCAGAAAAGCTGTCAAGACCTGGCTATTCTTGCAGGCCTGGGGCTGTTGACCTCATTGTTGAGGTCCAGCCCCGACCAAAACGAATGGATCTGTGTTGTTTTATAACTTGTCTATTTTTATTCTTATTTTCTTTATTGCTTTTCTTTTTCCCCTCGTTGTAAGCCGCCCGGAGTCCTCCGGGATTGGGCGGCCTATAAATAAAATTAAACTCAAACTCAACTCAAAATCACCCTTGGACTAAAGCTTGTAACAGTGCTTTGATCCCACCCAACCTGTTCTTCAAAAGGAGAACAGATGTCCCTCAATCTGCAAAACCATTTCTAATGATAATCTTGATTGGCCTTTCTAAAACAGCATTTATTGGCATCGTGCAAACGAAACAAAACAAAAAATAAAAATCCACTGCGTACGTCCAGGTAGTCAAATAACCTGAAGTTTTACCTACAGGTTGTTTCTGTACCAGAACTGATGAAGCAGGTGTGTAGTCCAAATCCTCATCATTGAACAAATCTTCTGTATTCATTCCAATCGCATCTCCCATATCGAGGCCAAGTTTCTTTTGAAGCAATTTCCTCTGTCGGGCTATTCTTTCTTTAGGATCCACTTCACCTTAAAAAGGATAACAGCCTATGTTCTTACAAAACAAATCTATATTTTCCTGAAATGAAAAGTGCTGAACACATCTTAAATCTAAAAGCTTAGTTCCCTCCAGTGATCTTTACAAGAAAGGAATTTCGTGCAAAGCACACCAAAGAGCTCCCGATTATTGTTATGTTTGGTTTGCAAACTATGTTCAGCTTTTATTGTTAGAACAGTTTGAAAAGGAAGACTCTTATCTCTTTAAAAGTGCTATTATGGAACATCTGCACAATAATTTACTTTGCTGCTAGGTTATATTTTCCAGGCAACATTTTCAAGGTCTTATTCCATTGTTCACTTTCGATAGCTTACCTACTACAGAAAAACAGATCTGAAAAAGCTTCTTCGCCAATTCATGTGCATCTAACTTGCAAAATGTACCCAACTAATTAATTCAAAGATATAGGCAGAAGATTATGTTTAGAATCTGTCTCAGTGTTTCTCAACCTTGGCAACTTGAAGATGTCCGGACTTCAACTCCCAGAATTCCCCAGCCAGCATTCGCTGGCTGGGGAATTCTGGGAGTTAAAGTCCGGACAACTTCAAGTTGCCAAGGTTGAGAAACACTGGACTCTTATCTTCTATGAAATGAAAGTCTCCTTCCAATGACACAAAAGTTTTTTATACAGAACATGTAGCATTCCGTCTCTGTTGTCACTCTTGGATATATCTGTTCTCCTCCTCTCTTTGAAACAGCCTTGAAAACCTGGTTCTTCCCCCAGACCTTGAGCTTGGTCCTGTTACTTTATTGTTTTTGAATGATTTTTACTTCCATATGTTTTTTCATTGTATTTTACTCTTGATTTTATTGTCTGACCCCCAGAGATGTATGGCCTTATAAACTGAGTAATATAAAAAAATATATATATTCTGGTCAATAATCATAACAAGAATATTCATTCGTTCAAAATATAAATAAAAGAACACCTCCAATGAAAAATTCATTAATTCCCCTCCCTCAGCTGCCTTCTGTACTGCCCTTCTCCACTCGAGAGTTCTGGAATTTTCTAGAACCCACTAGGGATGAAGAGAGAACAAAGGTTTGGAAAACAAGACCTTATTCTCTCTTCACCAGCCAAGCCATCTTAAATGCAATTTAAAAAATAATTCTGCTAAAAGGAGAAATTCTCAATCTACTCTGGTACTACCATAATATATAAAATCAAATCAATGCAACCAAAATAGAAGAAGCAACATTATTTCAAGGACATGAACCAGTGATGAGTTGCTAATTTGTTTACTACCAGTTCCGGGAGGGGGGGGCGCGCTCCTGCGTGATGGTTCTGTGCATGCGCAGAAGCATCCGGGTGGGTGGGTGAAGCCTCCCGCCGCCACTACTACTGGTTCGCCCGATACGGGCCAAACCGGGAGCAACCCGCCTCTGGCATGAACATATTTCAAATGAAATAATTTCCTATGAAGCAATGAATAATTACTGAGCTTTGAAAAGGAATATTCCATGGACTCTAAAACCTGTGAAGAGTAATTCTGTCACCAAAATCAGGAGCAGGAAAGGATTATTTATTTTCTATGAGAGCAGGGTGAGAATTAGTTTAACTCGCTTAGCTGATAAAGGTAGTAAGATTCTGGCAGATGTGATATCTGAGTTATTAAAGATGAGATAATGATTCAGTTAGCTGTAGAAGGACATAAATAAATATATTTAATCACAAGAACAGATTTTTTTTTTTAACAAATAGATGAAAAAAGAGTATTGCTAAGTATACAGGACAACTTGTAGTATTAAGGGAACAAATACCAGATGTATCATCCTGAACTTCAAATTCAGCGCCAGCAGATCCAAGAAGAGAAGCGCCGTGCTTTAAAAGTCGACAAATATCAAATTTGTCAAAGCGCAACCGATCAGAAGTAGCGGCGTCTTCCGCCTGATTTTCACAGCCACGTTCTAGATAAAAGTGAACAAAACTTAGAATGGGATCAGAGTAAAGGACATGGACCAAACATAATTCGGGCGTTTTCTATTTTACCAACATTGTAAAGAACTAAATATGCAAAGAAAGAGATAATGCTCCTATCATATAACTCCTAGTTACCCAATACGTTATGCCCGAAGGTCATTTTTGGAACTTGCTTACACTTCCTGCCCAATTGATTTCACTGATTAAAATTTGAAAAGTAAATAGAAAGTCAGCAAAGCAAAGCAAAGCACTGCACTTGTGCTCCCAATAAAGCTTTAGGGACTCACGTAACACCTAAGGTGTTCTTAGAAAATGAAAGTGTCAGGTTGTATCGTAATGCTTTTTTTTTGGGGGGGGGGAGCATGCCCACTTGCTCAGAAAAAAAAATAGAAAGGCATATCAAGATGGTGCAGAGCATCAGGAGAGCTTAGAGGAGGCTTGAGGGAACAACCTTAGTGATTTATTTTCTGATAAACGGAGGCTGAATTTAGCCACCTGCATTATGTCAGTCATTCTGTGAGAAAGCATCTATAGATCAGTGTTTCTCAACCTTGGCAACTTGAAGATGTCCGGACTTCAACTCCCAGAATTCCCCAGCCAGCATTCGCTGGCTGGGGAATTCTGGGAGTTGAAGTCCGGACATCTTCAAGTTGCCAAGGTTGAGAA